TGGATGGCCTAAGGCAAGGAGAGAGCCACTAACAGCATAATTTTGTAGAAAGCCTTTGAAGCACTCTTGTAGAAAATAAGTTTCTATAATGAATTGTATTGATCCTGGGATCAAAAGTAATAGCACATTCATCAAATGGCCTAATTGATAATAAAATATAGTTCAATGTTTCCTACATCAAATTATCAATATATTGAAAAGAAAACTATGGTAATTTTTCTCAGTGACTGTGAAATCCCTTTTCCACACACAGCCCTTTTATTGATCAAAAAACATTATGATTCAGCAGTAGATTGAAATGGAAAAACAACTGACAATGTGGAACCTCATCTGAAGAAGCCCGTGTGTTCCTGGAAAATCGCAAGGGTCAAAAAATCTGCCCCCCTACCACCATTTTGTCTTCTGAGAAATGACCACTTGCTGTCGTATAGTCTAAGACCCACCTCTACCCTTCCTCAGTGAGTAAGACTCCCTTGTTTTTATGTCTTTTTGGATTTCTGGGCTCCCTTCCTTAATTTTGAGATGTTCCTCATTAATGAATATCCTTCCTAGTGTAATAGCCTGACAAAATCATCTCAATTATCTGGTGCATTTTTTTCTTTCAGTTTCTTTATAAGAGAAAACACAATGTTCAAGTTCTTTGTTAAATTCAGGGAAGTCAAATTGCAGTTGGAAGGTGATAGAACTTTCAAATTAAGCAAGACTTTACAGTTTGATTGTTTTAAAGCAATGTGTATAGGGAAAGACTAGGCATCACGCAAATGAAATAGCTGGAATGTAACACTGACTGGGATGCCTCCGGCCCTACCAGGAAACAGCACCAGGTATAGAATTGCAGTTGAAATAGCAATTTCCTTACCACTTTTTAACCTTGCTTCTTTGAGGGTGTTGTTAATCTTATTGGAATTCTGACCTTAATAATGACTACAGAATTAGGTGTAATTCCTTTCCTCATTAATCTCCATGTTAAAAAATTGTGTGTGTGTGTGTGTGAGTGAGTGATTTGAACAGGCTTAAGAGCAGCAGGATACAAAATGATAGACCTTATTCATGCAAACTAATCCACCTGCAAGAATTAAGACAATGTAACCATAAATTATGATTGTGCAACAACTCATATGCAAATATTTGCAATCTCCGTTGCCCTCCTACTTACAAAAAGGGCTTGTGATGGCAGTAACAATCATGGAAGAAAGCAGAATTTAAATAAATAGAAGTGCTTTAAATAGGTATTTTATACAATGTCTAAACTTCTTCTATAAAAGAATGCCCGTGGATATAGATCCATATAAACAGACTGGTAACTGAGTCTGACATGACAGATTCTAGTGGCAAATAGGAATTCTTATAAAGGAAATAAATGCTGAACTTCAGATATGGCTAAAAATTTTGTTTCTAAAATAATTTGACTTCTAAATATTCTTTACGTTGCTAATTGCAGCCCATTATAATCACACACAATAGGAAATAAAACCAAAGTCCCCCAGGAGAAGATGGGTTACATAAATTACGGTACACTCATTTAGTGGATTGCTCTGCAGCATATAAAAATTATTTTGCAGGAAAAAATGGCACAGAAAGTTGTTTATGAAAAGAATAATTAAACAAAGCTGCATTTTTAAAAAATGTTGCTTATGATCCAGAGAAGAAACTCTGGCTACAAATTGCCTAAGTTAAACACATTCCCAGTTAGAATGTAAGTTCAGTTAGTTAGGGAGTGCCCATCTTTACTGTATCCCTAGCAAGGTGTTTGGCGTGATATAAGTGATTAAATTAATAAATGCAAGCATATACCAATGATTCCATTGGAAAAATGTATGTTATGCATAGAAAAACTCTAAGAATATACATTAAAATGTTAACTACTTGGGCACCTGGGTGGCTCAGTCAGTTGAGTGTCTGTCTGACTTCGGCTCCAGCCATGTTCTCAGGATTTGTGGGTTCGAGGCCCGCGTCGGGCTCTGTGCTGACAGCTCAGAGTCTGGAGCCTGCTTTGGATTCTGTGTCTCCCTCTGTCTCTGCTCCTCCTGTATTCACACACACACACACTCTCTTTCTCTCTCTCTCAAAAATAAATAAACATTAAAAAAATTTTAAATGTTAACAGCTTAATTCTGAGTGGAATTTTTTTTGCCACTTGGTATTTTAATTTTTATAGTGAAATTGTATTTCTTTTGTAATCAGAAAACAATAAAATTAAGTTAAAAATATATCTTTCATAGATTTTCCAGAGCAGTCCCTATAAAATATCCTGTTTCTATATTTAGGCAGTTTACAGAGCTGGCTGGCTTTTTCTTAAATCTTGGAAAGCAGCTTATTTTCTGAAATCCTCACATTTTATCCAAGCTTATCCCTCAGTGAACAATCACATGCAGTCTGTTCTGGATTGTGATCAGTAAATGAAGTCAAAATCAAAATGAGGTAACTATTATATGCTGTCTGTCACTCACACATTTCCAAGGTAACTGTGATTTCATTCTTTTTGAAATAACAGAGCCAGGAACATTGGTGTTCCTTAGTGGAAATGAGGTTCACAGGAACAGTTGTACCCTCACAGTCTTCTACAAGCCACTGATTTGAGGAGATGAAGACTGGCCAAAATCCCAAGTGCTCATTCTGAATGTTCTAATAATTCTCTTGAGCAGCAAGCGTATTTTAGACATTACTGAAAAATGCAAAGACTGTTTCTAGTCATTAACAAAAGTTATGTTCGATCAGCCAACAGTTGTGCATTAGTACTCCTCAAGAGGAATGCTGAGTGTATGAGTAGTGTGGTGGAGACCTAGTCTTAGTCTAGAGTGCCAGATGTATTCAGCGATGCATTTGATTTGAAATTGTGGAATAAATATGCCCAGGGAAAGCTTTAGACATTCTGAATGGTATAGTTCAAAGTAGAAGAAAAACAGTAACATCTGAGGAACCCAAGAGAAGAAGGGAACAGTATAGATTTATTCTGTTCATTTGTAGATTTTTCCTTTTTTTAAAAAAAAAATTATTTTGAGAGAGAGAGGGAGAGAGAGAATCCCAAGCAGACTCCTGCACTGTCAGTACAGAGCCCAACTCAGGGCTTGATCTCAGAAACCTCGACCTGAGCAGAAATCAGGAGTCAGACACTTAACTGATTGGACCATCCAGGAACCCTCTCCCTTTTTTTTTTTTTTTAACATCAGTTGTATACAGAGTATGTCAGAATCAGAAATGTTAAGCCAACTGTAGAACTCTCCTCAAATAATAGCTACAAATTCTCAAAGAAACACCTAGCATATTAATCTGTTCTGCATTCTGAAAATATAATCCTATAAAATTACTATTCCTTTTAAGTCAAGCTTAAAAACTGTTAGTTTTCTAATTTATTTATTGTCTATCCATAACTAAATGGACAAGAGTTTTAATAAATTATATTAGTTCAATTTTGGACAGTTTCCTAGAAAAATATAATCCTTGGAAAATTCTGAAGGAATTAGAGAAGTTGTATTAAGAAAATAGAATGAAGTATCCCAGAATTAGCCTGTGAGGGAAGTTATGATAGAGATGGGATTTGCCTTTAAAACTTTTGTGCCCAAGAGGAAAATAAGTTACTAGAACCCTATGTCACTCACAGCAGAGAACCAAAATCAATGTTACTGGTAAATAAGCAGGAAGTTACTTGTCTTTTAACCTAGCACAAAATAGTTCAAATCATTTTGGTTCACTTTATGGTGAAATAAATGGCAATACACTTAATGTAACACACCATTTAATTTATTTCCCTTAATTCAATGCCAGAAGTCAAAACAGGAAGGGAAAATATTTCATACTTCTTACTGAGGGCTGATCTCTAAATGGAATCTTTTTCACAAAATACTTAACACAAAAGCATGCACACTACCAATCTACACAATGAATGCTAATCATTAGAGGTTTTTCTACTTAACAAACATTTATTTAATACCCACTTGACCTGATTTACTTGGCTCAACCAACGTTACTATGGGATTACTATGGGATATATAAATTTCATTCAATTTTTCACTCAATACCATGTCTGGAAGCATCTTCAGTCATTTATGAACTGAGACTCCACATCCCTTCATGGATATTCTTTTCCTTGTTTTGGTATCCCCTGTTCAGAACTCAGACAGCATAGTGTACAAGCCTCTATTTTACATCTATTTTAATTATTATATTTATTATTTATGAAAGCTACCAGTTCACTGTTCCTGATAGGCTGTGCACTCACTGATAGCAGGAATGCCGTTTTATATTCATTTTTGACTACATAACACCTAATAAAGTAACTGGCTTATACAGGAGGTCAATAATATTTGGTAAATACAGTAACTAATTCACTAAATGCCTCCCGAAAGCTATGAAAGCTATGACTCAACTGTAAAATACAAGATTCTATTACTGAAGATTGACATATTAATTTAACATTAGGATGGGAGCAAAGTTTAGATGTTTTGCTCTTGGACTCAATAATACATGAAATTTAATAGTGAAATAAGATAAAAGACTTGATTGGAGATGGACGGGGAAGCTCTTCATGTACATCTCAGCTGTATAAGTGTCCATGGTCCCACCTTGATGTTGATGTTCTTCCTCACAAGGATTCAACTCTGTTAGGTAGCATGGCACATGGCTAGCACTAAGAATCAATGCTTCTTGAATCATTGTCATAGTTCAGCTTTATTGCTTAGTTAAATACAAAACGTTTACATTTAGAAAGCAAGGAGGGTCTAGGCGAAGTAGTTACGAAGCCCATCCCTGTGGAAATTTTTCTGTAATATGCATGCCTGTGACTCTTATGTAGGGAATCAAATTCTCCAGGGACCTTAAACTCTTCCTAGATGTAAATCAGTCAACTTTAAAATCTTCTATAGGCCAAGAGAGGTGACTGACTGGCTGACTCCCAGTTGAATCAAGTACAATCCAACTCATAGTCAAGAGTTGTTTGTTGTGGTTGTTGTTGTTAACCTACTCTGATTCCAAAATGAATATTATACATTGGGAATTCTTCCTCACACATATACACCCCAGTAAAATAAATTAAATGCAATATACACAGTGGGAAATAAAATCCTTGAGTAGGTGTCAATGACATGATTATTTTCCAGAATGATTGCACCAATATGCCCTCCTAAGGATTGTCTTCTCTTTATCTGAGATGTATCTGTGCTGGGGCTACCTGTGGATCTTCCTCTCATGGCGTCCTCTTCTGAGTGTAGAGAAAAGGAAGTCTGCTCCATTTCAGTCTTGCTGTCATGGTAACAACCGTCGAAGGCCATGGCTTGAAATGTATCAATATTATACATTCCAGAAATCTGACAAAAAGACTTTTTGTTAGTAAGCCATGAATATGGTTCTATATGTAGGAACTATAGTAAAAGTCTAAACAATCAGATTTTTAAAAGAGTTTCAATAAATGCTAAGAATGTTCAGCTTATTTTATTTTATTTTAGTTTATTTTTTGAGAGAGAAGGAGAGAGTGAGCAGGGGAGGGGCAGAGAGAAGGGGGCACATAGGATTAGAAGCAGGCTCTGAGCCAACGGCAGAGAGCCCAATGTGGGGCTTGAACTCATTACCTGTGAGATCATGACCTGAGCCAAAGTTGGACATTTAACCAACTGAAATACCCAGATGCCCCTGTTTTGCTTATTTTAAAGAATAGAATTCTGGTTTTGCTTTTGGTATCTGACTAAAAGTCATTTTAATAATAAATGGAAAACATTATCAAAGAGATCTGTTTTTAATAGGGACTTAGCAAGGTTTATTATTATCTCCATAGAGATAGTTGAACATTATACAAATAAATGTTTCACAATTATAATGTCAGTGTTTTCTAATTTAGTTTTGGCCTGATAGACTTTTACACTCAATGCATGTTTCCCCAGAAGGGAACACTGTTTCAGGTTTCCCTCTTTGTTTCTGCATAGTATGAATTGTTTGACATAAGTTTGAGTTGAAATTGAATATGATTTATCAGCAAAACCAATTGGATTTGCTTTTCAACATATTTTTGTCTTTAGAGAAAACACAGTAATACGCCTGGTCAGTGTAATTTTTTGTCCAAAACCAAAACAATATTATCAGGTGATCGACTTATGCTTAAATTTGGAGTAGGGATAGGAAATGATTTTAGCTACTCTCTTTAAATGCAAATTGGTCAACCCTTCTCATTTGTTGCTGAGAAGTACCTATAAATGATACCAACACAGCCCAATTAAACAACTTGAAATTGGCTTATTTTTTGGAAGGAGAGAATGAATTATCAATGCTTTCTGGCTCCAGTGCCTGATTAAATCTAAACTACCACTTTTCTTTAAGGTTTTACTTTGAGGGAGATGGTGGTTCTCACTGATACAGAACTGTGTCTAGGAAGTAGGTGTTACTAATTGCTTTCTGAGAAAATGAAATCACTTCTTGATCTATAGGGAAGTTAAAAAAATGAGCAAATATGAATAGGCTACCACTGGCTGAAATTATTCAGAATTCAAATGGGAAGCTACAGAATAAAGTCTGCCAAAACATGTATTTGGTTCACAGCAATTAAAAAAACTAATATTTTACTGAATTCAAGAGACATAGAGAATATTTTGTGTAGTCAGTAAACTAACCAAGGACCCATACTCAAGTTATGTTGTCCTTTTTTGTTTTAGCCATAGGAACTTTTCATAACAAAATGAAAACGGATGATATGAACATAAAATAAGATCAGGACTCAAAAACTAACCTCAGATAGTAAAAAATAACACTAAGAATATATTCAACTCTGGATCTGAGAACAGAATAACTAGTATAATCTCTTCCGCGGTTTTACTATACCCACCCAGAACACTGCTGAGTTATCCCACTGGACACTATGATAATTTAGAACCATTCATATAATTGATTAAATCTTGCAGTATACAATTTACCAGTAGGGTGCTAATTTCCACAATTTCATAAGTTGGTTGTTCTAATAGAAACAGTTTTAGAATGGGTCTTTAATTTTTCACTCCAGCCTACAAATAAGCACATACCTAAGGCATATTATATCTAAAGTATAGATTTGACTGTTTTATGTGGAGTTCTAAGTCCTGGAAGTAGGAAAACATTCAGATGAAGGAATAAGAAAGAAAAGAATTTCCTTTCTCCTTTCTGGGCAAAGGTCAACAGTAAGGACAATTTTTCCATGATCCTTGCTGTTCTCCCAGCTCTTGGCACCTGGGGGAGGTTGGGACAGGGTGTGTGATGGTGGTGGTGGCAGGAAATGAGCTTTGCTTCACTTCGTGATTTCATCGGAAGGAACTCCATAGCCTAAGATTCCCGGTCTTTCTCACTATCCCTGCATTATTCCATCCTAGAGGTTTCGCAGAAGGAATTATTAGCATGTGTGGCTCAGCAGCTCCTTTTGAGTCCTCACTTTAGGATCTGCATTGGTACCTAAGTTTGTTCTCTGAAGTGAGGTAAAAGGAGATTATCCTTACAGGGAGAGTCCTGAATTGTCTAGCTTCACCAGTGACCAGAAGGGGTAAGCACATTTAGTACAGTGATGAAGTATTAGTGAGACCTCCTGCTCCCATATCTAAGCACTTACTCCAAACTGCTTTATCAACAACAAAGGTGACATCCTCCCATCTGCCTGGTTTCCACATCTTTCTCTAAAACTGGTTTCCCACTTCAGGCGTAGAGAAAAGAAGCATCACCAATTATCCCCCCAAACCTACAGACATATCCTTCTACCCTGCCCCTCACCAGGGCATCCTACCCCTTTAACAATATCTCATCTCAGACAGCCTGTTCCCACTTTCCTTGTTAAAACCACTATTTGTTCAGAGCACATGAGCTGGGCATTAATCACAATAATAACTCAATATTTGTGTAGCATGTTACAGTTTGCAAAAGTTTCAGACCCATTTATTACATTATTCGCAACAGCCCTATGAGGTAAATAGGGAAGAAATTCCACCATTTTGAAAATGAAGAATGAGATCCAGGAACAAAAAGCTAGAAAGTGGCAGAGTTAGGTTTGGCATCACTACTTCTGACTCCAAATCTGTGTTCTTTTATTTTGCCCCACAAATATATGAATGGTAGGACATTTCTTTGAGATAATTGCACCTTTGAAGGCGGATGCTTAGAATGGTGGTTCCTAGAGGCTGGGGAAAGGGGAGAATGGGGAGTTGTCGAATGGGCACAGAGTTTCAGTTTTGTAGGATGAAAAAGTTCTGGAGATTGCTTGTACAACAATGTGAGTATTTTTTTTTTTTTAATTTTTTTTCCCAACGTTTATTTATTTTTGGGACAGAGAGAGACAGAGCATGAACGGGGAAGGGGCAGAGAGAGAGGGAGACACAGAATCGGAAACAGGCTCCAGGCTCTGAGCCATCAGCCCAGAGCCTGACGCGGGGCTCGAACTCACGGACCGCGAGATCGTGACCTGGCTGAAGTCGGACGCTCAACCGACTGCGCCACCCAGGCGCCCCAATGTGAGTATTCTTAACACTACTGAACTACACACTTAAAAACAGGTTAAGATGGTAAGTTCTATGTTATGTGGATTTTACCACAACTTAAAATTTTTTTTAAATGGATGGTACTTACTAACTTAAAAGATTTTCTTCTTATTGGTACACAAGAAGAGTGTGTATAGCCCCAAGTAGTGGAAACTAAAATTCAGGTAGTGTGAACATATGTGTTGTGTGGCAGGTGGGAGTGGATGGATGTAGACAGTTTGGAACCAAAAGACTGGATAGAGATGTGCCCAAATTCCTACAGTGCCTCTTGCTTGGGTTAACCACTTCCACATAAAAATAGAACAGAACGACAACAACATTCTTTTTCTTATCACACGTCTTTTTTCTCTGTCACCTTTAATTCACAGATTATCTAAACTGTTGCTATTCTCAGTGCAGGCAATGGATCGATGGCATCTGGGACTTGTTAGAAATGCAGACTCCAATCCCACCCCACATCTGCTGAATGAATATCTGAACAAATCCCAGGTGATGTGCACACACCCATCACTGCATACTTGTCCAGAAGCTCCCAGGTGTCTCACATCTGCCTAGAAGTCATATGGGTATGTGTGCGGTGGGGACACATACACAGTGTCAACAAAAGAAACGGAGGCATCAGCAATAAAGCAAAATCAGCTCTTATTACAGCTTTGATTCAAAGGGGATATAATAGAAGAAGGAAGTGGTATTACAGGAGATCTGAATTTCAAATGCATCTCTGTTGGCTGTGAATCTCTTGACAAATCACTTCACTAAAACTCTGCCGCTTCATCTCAAAAATAGAGATAATAATCTCTGCAAGGCCTACATCATGGAGCTGAGATGAAGGCTCAATTTGAGAAGAGGATATAAAACACTCTGAAAAGTAAGAAACACTCTCACTAGAGGTATAACAAATATTAAATAATGTTTTGGGTGTACATAAGTATGCATATAAGAATTTCTCAAACCAATGTGAATATATTTCATTAAAATCATGTTCATAGATGCTACACACACACACACACACACACACACACACACACACACACACATATGTATATATACGGCCTTAAGTACAGGCTACCAAACAGATTAATTATGTTTCTTAAGTACAATATCTTATGTCAGTTGTCATAATAACAGGGAACCGGTGCCCTGATCCTTTGTGAAACAAAGCAGGTAGAGATCAATCTGTCCATGTTTACTAAACCCTGGCACAAGAAACATGTGATGACATTTAGAACCCAGAAACCACCTTTTATCCCCAGTATCCTAAGGAGAGAAGAACCTCTCTTTATGCTCTGCCACTCTCCCAAGTAACAAGAAGAGAAACATAAATCCTAGCTCTGGTGGAGAGAAGCACATCATTTACGGATTGAGAGCACAGCCATTGGAGTCAGGGAGACCCAGAAACAAATCCTAATTCCTCTTTGGCTGTGTGACCTTGGCCAGGTTACTCCCTAGCTGCTCCTATTTCACCTCTGTAAAATGAGGGTTATACAGTACCTACCTCTCGGGGCTACTCTGAGAATTAAATGACATGCTGTGTCATTAGGTGGTTAGTGCAATACCAATATAGAATAAACACACATTAAATGTTAGCTATCATCATCATCATCTTCTTGAAAGGATGTAGTTTACACCTGAACCCTTTCTTTTCAAAGGATAGAGCCGGTGGAGAGGAGCACACTGAGAGAAATTCCTCACACGAGAAAACCCTCCTGGCAAAGGTGAATGAGGATGCTGAGGAAACCAGTCAGCACAGGCAGAATGAAGTTCAATATTAAATCCTGTGAACTTGCATCTTGCCAAGGCATATAGACTTAATACAAGGGCTTACAACACTGTCAGGAGAGGGTTATAGGTAAGGACAGTCTTTTTCACATTCCAAAAAGGATCAGATGGTTAAAGCCAGGCAATACCTTCCCTGTCTTCTTGAATTGTTTCCACTCTTCCACTGTGGTGAGGTAGTTCACAGCTGCATACTCAATGACTGACAGGAACACAAAGAGGGAGCTGACCCACAGGTACACATCCACGGCCTTGATGTAGGACACCTGGGGCATGGAGGCACTCATGCCAGAGATGATGGTGGACATAGTCAGCACTGTGGTGATTCCTGCCATTGGAGAACAGTGACAAGCTCAGTGTTCTAGGATCTGGTGCTGGATTACACCAGGGTATGTTTTTCTGGAACACTTTCAGATGATCAAAGCTGGGAGTGGGGGAGGAATCCCTGCATGTTAACCTAGTACACATCTTGAGCCCAAGCAAGAAGCTCTCCTTGGATTTGTCTATCTCTTTGCCTTGCCCTCACCCCAACTGTCCATGTTTCCTTCCCCCCATCTAAAGACTTCACAGACTCAAACATATTTCTAAGGACTCACTCACTCATTTGCCTTCAGTTGGGCCTCTTTAAACCATCCCAGAAAGGTTCAAATGTGTTCAATTTTAAAATTCCTTCTGGAAAAGAAATTCTAAAACTATTCCCACTACCCTTTCCTGTCATTTTGCAATTTACTGTTAAGAAATTGTCTTTGAGTCAATCTTTAATCTTTCATTCACCAGACAGTGATCTTGTCATTTTCCATATTTTTCTTTCATATAGAATACTTATGAGCCATTAGTATTGCTATCACTTTGTCCCTTGTTACTGAAACTACAGTTCAGTTGAGATTTAGGATGGAAGTGTGATCCTGGAGGCTCAGTTCAGCGTAAATACTTGCTATTTGACTGTGAAATGCCATTTACATTCCCCACCCCTCCCCCTCCCTTTCCTTCCCTTCCTGGTCAGCCAGTCTCTCCCCTTCCCTCTTCTTTTCTCCCTTTCCCTTCTTTATCCTCTGGCATAAGCATCAGAGGTAATGAGATCAAGATTCCAGGGCACAATGGAAAAAGAAGTGACTCGAGATTTCCTTAACAAAATGCTGGCCTCGGGGTGGGCTAGTCTGTGTCTGCACTAATTTCTCAGAGGGACGCAGCGAGAGTGCTGCCTGGAGAAAAAGTACAGTATTGTAAATATTTGAAATGTACACTAGCTGGCACAGTTTTATTTCCTAACTTCCCACCAGGGAGGCACAAATGGAGTCCTTAATGATTTTTATAAGTTGTGAGGACATTTTAATGTCAACAGACAGAGTCCCGAACAGCAGGAAGAGCACCATGATTTACTCCTAAATGTACAGACACAGCATGTGGACAGCTTTCATCACACACTTCCACCCTTCTACAATAATTCTTCAAGGTTCTCATCTGAGGGAGCCCATATCAAAGACAATGACAGATCTACAGAGCTATTCAATTTCAAATTAAGTTTTCCATTTGTATGATCAAGACCAAGGACTTGGCATTTTGGCAGTCACCATGGGAGGGCCCTGGAGTCTTACCTTGACACTGATTCAAACTCCAGGATAAGAAACCTAAATGCTATTCTAGCTCTTACCATTAAATACAGGCCACTGTCTCACTGAGTCCCAGATCTCCCCAACAACGGTAGTATGGACCATCTGCATATCAGTGGATGCTGTATCCTTGCTACATAAATGTGGATATGTGATTTTTTTTTTTATTCCCATTACAAGTGTATGTGTAGCTGAAGGCAAGATTTTTTTTTAAATGTTTTTATTTATTTTTAAGAGAGAGAGAGCACAAGCAGGGGAGGGGCAGAGAAAGGGGCAAGATTATTAAATAAAGCTTGCTTGCCTTTATTGAATGTTTACCCACCACAAACCTAGGTAAGTAAATATTATTAGCCACACATTGCAGAAAAGAAATATGAGCTGAGAGGGGCTAAGTAACCAGCCTGAGTTTGAAAAACTCCTGAGTCAGGAGCAGGGCTACAAATTTTCTGAGTGTGGAACCCATGCTTTTTATATGCAAACCTGCTGCTTCTCATTCCAGAGGGATCTCTTTTTGTTTCTAACATTATAAACCAATCTCTATACATGCAGCATCTCTGAGAGGAAGACACTATAAAGCTGAGAGTAGAACTATGTCAGGAGGTATACTTTGTGCTTTTCAAAAAGCTAAAAGTCCTATTCCTTTCAGGACTTCACTGGTAAAACTGAATGAATCCTGCACTAATATTCATATTCAGTAGTTTACCTTATTCGTTAAAAAAATTTAATGTCTTTTTTTTACTGGTTTTCTACAATATAGAAGATAGAACTTGAGTTTTTTTCAATGAACAGTAACATGGGGCTTAATGGACAAAATAAAGGTTTAGAACCCATATATGAGTTTCCTACATGCCAGATAGATCTTATTGGGCATTTTAAATAGATGACTAGTGAAAGGCCACTAAATCGATGGCCAGTAAAAGGAAACTGCATTATCTATTTTTTGCCAGAGAGCAATAAACTATCATTTTCCTTAAAAGGATACTTAGTACAGCTAATTTACTATAGCTTTATTTATTTTTAAACCAGCATTTTAGATTTTCCTTGTTTAAAATGAGCAATAAAAAAATAGTGAGTAGGGAGGAGAGATTGTTTGAGTCTGCAAGTAAAGGATGAGAAAACTGATACACAAATTCCTAAAGCAATAGAACTTGAGTCAGGAGTGTTACATCTACTGATTAAAACACTTATGTCTTGAGCCACTCCTTAGAAATGCATTAATCTTGACAAAGTGTATTCCTTCCAAACCCTTTAAAGTTAACATCCCAATAAAGGCACTTTAAATATATGAAGTGACCATTTAGTCAAAGAAAGGTTCTGTTTAGATTAGGATTAGAAAATTATCTTCTCACCTACCAATATTGCTCTGCATGGTCAGGAAAGTGTTAGGAGACAATATTTGGCCTGGCCCATGGGACTGAACTCCCCTGAGCCAGTTATGCCATATTATGCATTATGCCAGTTATGCAGTTATGCCATATTAACTCTTAAGGACACATATGGGGTCCTAAGAACCCTTTGGTCTAGTGAGAAATACTGATCTTTGTGTTTCATTGGCCATTTTTCTTCACATGTGATGGAGAGGTTCATTGACTAGGGTGATGGCAATAGGGCATGTAGGCATCACTTATAGAACTATTGAGTCAGTTGTGTATTCAGTAGTTGTGCTGTGGACAGGTCTTTTGAAGGCATAGGTATCTACATTTATGTTTAAGTGAATAAAAACATTTTCCCTGTAGGCCTAAGCAGAAAGAAAATATCAAGTGATCTGAGAGAAAAGAAGGTAGGTCGGATAGCCTAACACCTCGAGTCTATGGCCAGAAACGAACAACCATTGCCGCACAAAGGTGGTGTCAGAGTCCAGTGCCTAGAAGTTCTGGTAACCTCTATGATGGTTAAATGAATTACTCCTAATTATTTACTTTTTTCAGGCATATGTCATATCCTCTGTTAGAAGACATTTTTCTTTATTAGTGTCTACATGCCTGAAAACTTCAGTTGTCTTTCTCTGCCATCTCTGTTCCTGGTAAATGACTCTATTACTTAATATGCAGTATGAATGGCATACCTAGAGGAGCCAAATGAGAAAGATGGAGGCAAGGGAAGAGGAGGGAGATAGAAGGAAGAGATGAAAGTACAGTACTACTCATCCTTCCATGAGGGTTAAAACATCCTTGAACAACTTTATAATAGTCTCATTCCCTCTCCAAACCAAATCATATGGAAATATAGATTAGTATGTTTAACCCATCCCACATTCCAAATTATGGTAGCTATTATCTCTTATGAAAATCACCTAATCACAATTGATACTTCTATGCCGTTCAGCCTCTATTGTTTTTCATTTGAAACATGACAAATGTGAAAGGATCTTAACAAGCAAATGATTCATCCTTACTTAGCAAATGAATCCAAATGTGGAAAGGTCTTAGCCAACAATGAATCCTTATTGTTTTCAGTTAGTAACTAAAATACAGTTATTAAAAACATTGTGGGTTAAACATTAGCAATTTAACAACTATGTATTGAGAACAAAATATGTGCAGGATACTGTACTAGTCACTACAGGAACAGAAAAGATGGTAATAACGATCCTCGTCCTTAAGGAACTCACATTCTAATACAGGAGACAGGATAAGCTACCAAGGCACCCCGTAGCTATTACAAGATAGAGGAAGTAAGGTAGAAGAGACACCTTAGGGGAGATACAAAGTGCCATGTGGCTCAAATATTGGAGAGACCATGTCTGCCTGGTGCCATCAGTAGAAGTTTGTGGCCATTGAGAAATGGCAAGACTTTGACAGAGGAAGATAGGTAGAGTAAGAACAAGAATAAAGGTATAGAAGTACTATAGATAAGATAAGCAGTTAGTCATGAGCGACTGTTGAGAACACTGAATATTCAAACTGGTTGAAGCTTAGACAACCACTTGGGGCAGGAGTATGGTTAAAGATGCAGCAGATAAAAATACAGGACACTCAGTAATATCTGAATTTCAAATAAGCAACAAATAATGTGTTAGTATAAGTACATCCCATACAATGTTCAGGATATACTTATACTAACACAGTATTTGGTGCTTATCTAAAACTCAAATTCAACCAAGTGTCTTGTATTTCATCTGGCAACCCTCAAGAGGCACCTTGAATTCCAAGCTGAGAATATTTACTTCAGTGGCATTTGAGATGAGAGTGTTGTGACCACAGTTGAGTTTAGAAATATTACTCTGGTAGTAGGGTTGGATTGTGGCAAGAAGAATAGGAAGTGAAATAAGCAAGTACAAGGCCTATACAAGCCCCTACTACAGCTTTGTGCAAATCAGCAAATGGTGCCCTTTTTCCGGAGGATATCATCCCATACCATGTCCCATAGAGCTTGGGCTGGATTTCTGCTCCTTACTCCCATCGGGATCAGATGTCACAGCCTTGCAAAATGGCCCTGGGCAGGTAGGGATCTGTTAGGGCAATCCAGGAAAAATTAACAAGGGTCCCAGCACTGGTCAAGGCAGGAGGAATGGAAGAGAAAGGATAAGCATATCTGAGGACTTTTTATAGAGAAGGCTAACTCTGAAGATTTAGGTACCTTATAGCCACAGTTCTCAAAGTGTGGTCAGTGGCTCCTTTGGGCTCTCCAAGACATTTTCAGAGGGTCTGTATAGTGAAGATGAATTTCACAATACTAAGACATTGTTTACCTTTTCCCTATGTTGATATTTGCAATGGTGGGAAGCACTGCTGGGAAAAGTTACTGTTGCCTTATCATGAATTCAGGCAGCAACACCCACCTGGTCTAGCAACTGACAATCACTGTATTCTTTAACTGTCAGTATCACAGTGAAAAGAAATCAGTAAAACGTTTTAATTTTATTAAATTACAGCCTTTGTGTATATACCTTTTTAATATTCTGGTTGATGAAATGAGCAGTCTATATAAGGCACTTCTCCATACCAAACAGCAATGGCTGTCTTGAGGGAAAATGCTCAGACAGTTGAGTTATGAGCTGAACAGGAGACACTTTTAACAATGGGACATCACTGTCACTTAAAAGAACAACTCACAGAGAAACTCTGGTTGTTCAGATTTGGGTATCTTCAGGCATTTTGTCAAAACTGAGTAAAGTGGGGCGCCTGGGTGGCGCAGTCGGTTAAGCGTCCGACTTCAGCCAGGTCACGATCTCGCGGTCCGTGAGTTCGAGCCCCGCATCGGGCTCTGGGCTGATGGCTCGGAGCCTGGAGCCTGTTTCCGATTCTGTGTCTCCCTCTCTCTCTGCCCCTCCCCCGTTCATGCTCTGTCTCTCTCTATCCCAAAAATAAATAAACGTTGAAAAAAAATTAAAAAAAAAAAACTGAGTAAAGTAAGCCTATCACTTGAAGTAAAGCAACTAATGATGTTTGTTGCTAAATGATAAAATTTGAGATTTCAAGTCAAAACTAGAATGATGTTAAACTTGTATGTATCACTATGAGCTTGAGAGTTTTTCCATTACTCAAAAACTTTTTGATGAGATTAATAAATGTGAGTTTTTGAATTTATATAATTAATTACATGAACATTGAGAAGATCTGTATAACTCAGTGCACCAGTATTTTTCAAATGGTTGATGCACGGGTGAAAAGATCTAGGCAAAATGCAAGCTAGATCAATGAATTTTAATCTAATAGAGTACAAAAAAATTCACTGATAGAATATCAGATTCCACATTGTAATTAACCTTTAAGAAACTGTCACTTTCTGAGTTTTGGTGCAATGTCAAGAAAGACTATGCGCAACACTATTGAAATATGGCTCTTTTCTCTAACCACATATCTGAACAAGGCAGATTCCTTCCTATATTTCAACTAAAACCTATTACAACAGATTGAATGAGGAAGCAGAGATGGGAATCCAGCTGCCCTCCAGAAGGCCAGATATTAAAGGTTTGCAAAAATGTACAACAATACCACTCTTCTCACTAATATTTTTTGTTTTAGAAAAAAGTTATTTTATGGGGCACCTGGGTGGCTCAGTTGGTTAAGCATCCAACTCTTGGTTTCAGCTGAGGTCATAAGTTCACGGTTTCGTGAGTTTGAGCCCCTCATTGGGCTCTGTGCTGACAGTGCAGAGTGTGCTTGGGATGCTCTCTCTCCCTCTCTCTCTGTCTCTCCCTGACTCATAATGTCTCTGTCTCTCTTAAAATAAATAAAGAAAGAAAACTTTAAAAAATGCCTTTAGAGAAGTTATTTTTCATAGAATATGCTAACTTTTAATGAGTTTATTATTGCTAATTTTAAATGGACTCATGCAGATTTTTTAAAATTCTGTTTCAATAGCCAACATGGCTAAATAATGATAGATATAACCCACAAAACAAAAGCTCTCTAGGGTTCCTAATAATTTTTAAGGTGTAAATGGGTCCTAAGAACCTAAGAATGACTGCCCAAGACTAAGGAAATTAAGGGTCCAATAGTGAAAGACTCAACACATTCGGGGCCCTTAGAAGAACAAGAAAAGTCAAGAGAATAAGTGGGATTTGGGCAGGGGTGGCAGAGTTGGGAAGAGTAGTTTGTTGGGTTTTGAACATGTGGAGTACCTGTAGTATCTGGAAATGAAGTCCAGGCGGGCAGCTGGGAGTAGAATCTAGAACTTGAGAGAAAGATTTGTGATAAAGACAGGGTTGGGATTTGCTTTCATAGAGACAGTAGTCAGAAGCAAAGGCTTGTTCCGTTTGATGAGAGAATCAAAAGCGAGCAAAACCTTGGAAGGTAATTACCCAGATTACCTACTCAGGGAGTAGAAGGAAGACAAAGTAGGAGTACAAATGAAAGAAAAGTCTAAAAAAGGAGAAAACCTAGACTAGTACAGAGTACCGAAAACAAACTTATTGTTTGTTTAGTCTCATCAAACACTATGGGCCAGGCACAGCCTAGGCAGTTGACATAAATGCTCCCATTTATTTCATACAGTGACCTTGGAAGGCTGTATTAATCATCTCATTTTGCAGATGAGGAAGATGAGGCTGGGCTCTTGACCACTACACCTGATTCTGAATTCGGAGAGGATGCTTAATAGTGTCAAATACTTCAGAGCTTCAGATGATGGAGGGGGAGCAACCGAGAAAAGGCAAGAGTAAGATAGAAAGATAGAAGGACCTTCTGGAGAATCAGGTAGCCCAGTAGTATTTGTGAACAGCCAGTAAAGCAGAGCCCAAAATACCTTTGAAAAAACTTGAGGGTGTTAGGAAGCAAAAACCTGAGAAGATAGCAGTGGTATAGGAATACTACAGTTCCCTTTATTAAGAGAAGAGGGGAAAGGGACACTTCTGATTTGTATATTATTTTATACAAATCTGCATAGCAATTTTCCAACCCTGCAGGGACCCAATGTAGATGTAAGAAGCATAGAATTTCAGGGGTTACTTAAATGCATTTCAGTGTTTTCCATTCACCCCAACCCACCCTGGAACCAGCTTTGATTACTTGTCATTTTCAAAGCATAAGAGCTGAGTAGTTGGCTTCAGGAATCTGAAAATCATGTTTATAAACCTTTAGAGACTGAATGTCTTTCTCATTCTGTCTTGAGGGCTGGTAATGTGCCTTTAGCCTCCTGTTCAATTCTACCCTGTCCCACTGCTGCACTGAGGTCAGGGCATGACTGTTCTGATGTGAAGGAACAGCCACAATACTTTAATTACTTATTCAGATGGTATTTTTTCCCATGAAGATATTCAAGCCTCAAATGCTTGTAGATTGAAGCTTTTAATAGGGGAAAGAGGTGAACAAATTATTAATATTAATGACAATTTATGTCTTTTCAAACGGTCTTTTGAAGTATGCATATAATTTGCGAACATTAACTTAGAAATCACCCTTTCTGGAATGAATTGTGTGATAATTACAATGATTGTGAAACACTTATAACAATCTTCTCTCTAGATAGAGTATTACAGGTGAAAACAAAATCAGCTGAAATGAAGGGAGCTCTGCCCTGAACCAGCCAAGAAGGCAAGTGGAATTGACTCTTGAGTTCTCATTAAGTAACGTGTTATCTAAGTGCTTAGCCAGGCATCCTACACTTAGTAAGAACATAGTAACTGTTAAGTGGGTCTGAAATGGTTCCCATAAATCAGTATGTGTGACAGTGGCGTATAACATGCTAGGTGGAGTAGATAATCACACCTGTGTGGTGACTTCATGAAGCTGGCAATGTCTCTCCACTTGAAATCGCTTGCCAACTAAAGTACCACAATAACTGAAATTTCACTGCAGTTGATTCTGATTTTGGTGTTTAGGTTAAGGCCTGATTTCTAATTGGCATTGCCCCCTATCTCAAGAAATAATTTATTAGGATACCAGTAGTATAGTGGATTGAAGTTTCTTTTTTCTATGATGCAAAGGTTTGTCATGCATAGCAAAATGGGTTTGGGCAAGGGATGGGGAGGTTTCCTGAAAGTGAGGAGATAGGTTTGTAAAGTGAGGCTGTTTATGCTTCATAATTTCATAATTTATCCTTATTAGTCAGCATTTGGTCAGCTGGTGCAGGCTTCATACCTAATGTCTCAGTTTCCAAGGAAAGAGTCCAATTACAGTTTGCCGCTGAGGCTGTTGAAATCAATGTTATAACCTGAGTGTAAGTCTCTAACTATCCCTACTAAACCATCACTCCTTTCTCTCTACTTATCATCCCTTTTTATTTACCTTCATTGAACTTTCTCTGATATTAGCATTTCACAAAGATTCAGAAAAACCTTACCCAGGGAAACTCTTGCAGGAACAGCTCTTCGGTCAATCCAAAATGAAACCCATGAAAGCATCACCATCAACATTGCTGGGAAATATGTTTGTAACACGAAGAAGAAGATATGCCTCCTTAGCACAAAATTGATGAAAAGCCTATTGTACCAACCTATGAGAAAAAGCCAGAGTTTTCCTTAGAACAGGCTTCCACATGAAAACATCACACTTCATGAAATGACCTGCTTCTTTAAACTCTAAGCTCTTAGAGAACATGGAACAGAACACACTCACCCTTGTTTACCTACTACAAGGACACGGTCTGGGCCTGGCATTCCATCAATGTCTGTTGAACTGAAGTCTGTAAGTGATCTGAAGTCTGTTTAATTATGTGATTCAAAGATTCCCCTTAAATTTCATAGCTGCTATTCAGGAATGAATGGTAATCATATTTTGTGAAATGGCCTTTAAAGACCTTTTTTCCAAAATATATTGTGTTCACATCATTTCTACAAGTGAGCCAGTCTTCAATACATGACTAATAACTGCATGCAATAGCCAATAAACCATTTATTAGCTATAACAAATGAAAGAGAACATCTTATGTGAAGGAAAAGGTTCACAGTAGCTACTGAGTCATTGGATTCCAAGTTGGAACCCAGACAGTGAGGCTTTCATAAAAGGAGTGGGTGAAAGGAATATCTGTAAACTGTATTATTTCAAAGTCTGGTGGGTACCATTAATTTATGTATGGTAAATCTACAAAAAAGTAACCAAATGATGATGTTTCTTTGCTTCTGACTGGAATTAAATAGATTGATGTTGCTAATATTGATTAATTCATGCTGATCAGAAGTAAGACTTGTGGTCACATCCATACAATTTTGTTCAGGTTTCCCTTTTCACATTGGCTGCAAGGAAGTTTAAAGACAAAAAACAAGGGACTATTAGGTTAAAAATTATAAAACAAAGTCATAAGTATTGCAAAGTTAGAGAACCCTTCTTCTAGTCTCAGTATTAATTTCTTAGGAAACTCAAGATGGCAAACCTATTACACAGAACAGGTCAATATTTAGGCATTCAGCCTAAAACATATACCTAGCAAACCCACCTTGAATTGGCATACTATTCTTTTAGTATTCTCTTCTTAATTATGTGCTGATGACCCTTCTTGTCCCCACCTGTTCTGAGGTTCTCATCATCAGTTGATATATGTTTCAGGAATACCAAACAATTTCATTACCAAGGTTAACAATAGATACATTACATAGTGCATTCTAAAGTCAGAATATACATTATTTTTTAAGCTACTCATTTTGTCTTGTATTACCCATGCCACAGCCCCGCTTGATTTTTGTGTGCAGTTGAGAGTTCTTATTATAGCTGCATAGTGGAATAGCAGTCTCTCTGATGTTACAGCTTCATACAATTATTTTGAGATTAAAAGAGATGAGTAAAAGCTGTGAAAGAACTTCATAAAGAAACACTTAGGGTATGTGGTTTTAGCTATGACTTAAATTTTGGTAACATATCCTTTCTTTATTGGTAATTTTCTGAAGAATAAATTTGTTTTTGGCAACCAATCAGGAGAAATGCTACTATGTTGTGTGTCTTTTCAGGGCAGGGGAGACTAGGGGTACTATTGTGGTTGAAGCTGCAGGCCAGAAAGAGCTCCCTCCACCACCAAGAAATGTGGTGCTGCCTTGGAAAGATGGTGGAACCCTCAGCCTGGGTAGTGTAATCAAGAGTCTGACTCCACTTCCGATACTTGACTCCTCATAGCTCCCAAACCCCACTGGTCCTTCTCCTTCTGTCTCACGCCTGGGCAAGCTAATAGGAAAGCTGGGTGCTCCCTATTTTGGCACCCATGGGAAATTCAAGTCATGCAAGGGAGTCACTCCCCCCCAGTCCCACCCTTTAACCACCATAAAACTCTAAGCCAGTTGCCCTTCTCTGATTTCTCAGGCCATTTTCAGACCTACTTGGGAGCTTACTCCGCTCTCTCTGGAAAACTTCATTACATGCATAATAAATCTCTTTATAACCTTTTGCTTTGTGTGCTGCATCATCAGTTTTGACAGCTGAACCACATTCTGGGTGGAAGGTCTGTCAGCCTCCATCAGGTTGCCGCACAGTAGAAAGAAGGGGAGTTTATGAAAGAAGGAGAGGGCCGGAGAGTTGGCAGCAGGAAAATGCAAGAGAGGGGAAGTGATTGAGGAGTCAGTCAGGTTCAAGGAGTCAGGTTCAAGAAGAGTTTTACACCTGAGACTCTCACCTTCGATGGGTGGTTGATGCTAAAGGCTTCAATCTGTGTCAAAAGGATCAAGATGATGTTTATGAAAATAGTGATGATGAGAGCTACTAGCTAATATTTACTGGTTACTCACCATATGATAGACAGTATTCTCAGTTATTGACGGCAGACTTTATTCTAAATTATTTAAATGCATTAAATCATGTATCCTCACAACCTTCTGAGGTAGAGAGTGTTACAAAAGATGAAGACATTGAGGCTTAGAGAGATAAGGCAACCTGTCCACATTTCTAATAAGCAGTTGAGCCAGGATTTGAACTCATGCAGCCTGTCTCCAAAACTTATACCTGTAGCCACGACATGATGCTGCAATAAAGAATAATTGTCAATGCATTCTTTAGGGGCAGGAGTCATTTTTTTTTTCCTTCATAAATCTACAGTGCATGATTGTGAGGGGCACTGAAAGGCATGAGGGGGCAGAAGCCCTCAACTGCTTGTTACTATTGCCAGGGAGTGGTGAAGACGGAGCCAAGGGAAAAACTTGAGGACATGATGGTGCAGCTATCAAATAGAAACTAAAGTTACATAAATCTAACTCTACTTCTGGCTCTCCAAACCAGAGTTGCAAGTACAGATTTTACTGTATAGCTGATTTGGCAGTGCAGGTTACGGTGGTTGTTATAATGACAGGAACGAAGACAAAATAAACATAAAAAAATTATTTTTGATTAAGCTAATATGTTTAAACAGGATACTAATTGGAGAAAAACACTTGAGTTTAGCTCTCAGGAGACCACATTTAATATTTTATGGATAATGTGAGACAGAAGTATCACATGCTTGTAAATTAAAATAAATTTCTAAATGCTGATCTTTCTGAAACCGAAGAATGGTTGAATAAACCCAGATATGATTAATAACTGGATTAATAGCCAATGGAATGGCGTATTGATGAAGTAAGAATTTGGAAATCAAATTTAACCTCTTATTTTTAAGAGGATAGTTGGGTGTATATTCATGGATACTTGGGCTTCAAAATCTGAAGAAATGTCATTGTTATGATTATATATGTAGCATACATTCTGTGCAGGGAACAATACTCTTAGATTTCTATGCTTCGTATATATGACATTTTTAAAATGCTTATTAATTTTTGAGAGACACAGCATGAGTGGGGGAGAGGCAGAGAGAGAGAAACACACACAGAATCTGAAGCAGGCTCCAGGCTCTGAGCTGTCAACACAGGGCCCGACACAGGGCTGGAATCCATGAACGATGAGATCATGACCTGAGCCAAGGTTGATGCTCAACCTACTGAGCCACCCAGGCACCCCTCTGACATTTTAATTGCTTCAAACATTGCAAAGACCTATTTACAATTTATCATATGCCAAAGTTATTTCATCATAACAACAGCAAAATGAAAACAGTTATAAATTACACTTTGACATGCATCATTGTTTACCGCATGCATTCCTTTGTTTAAATATTAATTAAATTTAGGACTATGCACATTAAAATCCTGATAAATTTTAGGGGTTTGGGGTACGGGCCCTGGTGCAGTGGAAAATCTGCATATAACTTTCTAGTCCCCCAAACCTAACCACTAACAGCCTAAAGCTGCCTGGAAGCCTCACTATAATGGAACAGTGGATTAAGACATATTTTGCATGTTATCTGTATTATACACTGTATTCTTACAATAAATTAAGGTAGGGAAAAGAAAATGTTAAAAAATCATAAGGGAGAGAAAATGCATGTGTATTACCTTAGTGTATGTATTGAAAAATTCACATGTAAGTGGACTGTGCGGTTCAAAATCGTGTTGTTCAAGGGTTGAGTATTTACTTATGCAGAGTAAGACAGGAAGACAGAGAAAAGAAAAAGAAGGAGAAGAAACTATATAAAAACAATAATATGGTTTATCTTTATGAGGTTGGTTTACAAAGGCTTTTTCTTTAAATTTCTCTGAATTTTTTTTCAAGTTATCTGCCATTTATTCACTTGTTCAACAATTACCTATGGAGCATTTAGAATGTGCCAGGGATATACCAATCGTCGAAACAAATAATATGTATTATTTATATAATCAGAAAAGTCCATAAGCATTATTACAGTTAATAGCATTATCTGCTGAATCCTGAGCAATGTAGACAAATAATGAAGTGAAATAGAGCATTTCTCCTGGATCTAAATAGCTGTTGGTTCTAGAAAGTCCCTCAGCTTCTCTGTGATGTAAATTTTGATTTCTCTCTTATGATTCAGGCTTTTATTTTTTTTAATGCTTATTTATTTATTGTTGAGAAACAGAGCAAGCTAGCACATGAGCGGGGGAGGGGCAGAGAGAGAGGTAGACAAAGAATCTGAACAGGCTCCATGCTGTGAGCACAGAGCCCCACATGGGGCTTGAACTCATGAACTGTGAGATCATATCTGAGCCAAAGTCTGAGGCTTAACCAACTGAGCCACCCAGGCCCAATGATTCTGGCTTTTAGATAACAACTTGATAACTCCTCTCCGGAGTCTAAGGGCAAGAGTAGAGCACCCTCTAGGGAGAAAAGTCAGTAGGTAAAAGGATTCCAGGCACTCAGGGCAGCATACATTTTCCAGCCTATGCATGGCTTGAAAAATCTAAGGGGCGCCTGGGTGGCGCAGTCGGTTAAGCGTCCGACTTCAGCCAGGTCACGATCTCGCGCTCCGTGAGTTCGAGCCCCGCGTCAGGCTCTGGGCTGATGGCTCGGAGCCTGGAGCCTGTTTCCGATTCTGTGTCTCCCTCTCTCTCTGCCCCTCCCCCGTTCATGCTCTGTCTCTCTCTGTCCCAAAAATAAATAAAAAACGTTGAAAAAAAATTAAAAAAAAAAAAAAAATCTAAAATGTCATTTTATATGGATTCTTCCTGAAATGACCTAGAATGCTAATAACCAGGGAAGAGGGAGCTACTTTTAACTTTAATCAACAGGAAGCAAGTATAATTTATTTATTTTTTGTTTATTTTTTTAAATGGGACCACATATAATTTAAAAAGTGCCTTGGAGACATGTTACCAAATGAAAAATATATCTGTCATAGTAAAGAGTATACAATATAGGCCCAATATTGAATAGGTTTTCTCTTCTGAGCAATGATGCCCTTTACTGACTGATTCCTTCAGCGATACTTATTGTGTATATGTGCTGCCGAAGTGAGCACAGTGATATTTATTGAGTATCTATCATGTACCATGCCCATTCCAGATGCTGGGGAAGAAATGGTGAACAAGGCAGACAGATTTCTTGCACTCTTTCTAGTCAGGCACTCTGGCGATAAAGCAGTCACATAGAGATATATTTCAGGAAGTGTTAATGCTATGAAGACAAATAACAGATAGGGAATGGTGAGGAAGGAGGCCTCGTTTAGACGGGATGGTTGAGGAAGCACTCTCTGAGGAGGTGATATTTGAACAACACCTGAATGACAGGAAGGAGCCGGTCATGAGAAAGCTGGGGGGAAAGCATTGTAGGCAGAGGGAGGAAAAGGCCAAAACAGAAGCCCTGCAGATAGAATGAGACAGGTGTGTTTGAGGACAGGCAGGAAGGCCAGCGTGGGGGGTGTGGGATGTGGTGGAGGGGGGCGGGTGTAGTGGGTGAGGTCAGAGGTAGCTCGTGTAGGCCTTGGAGGTCATTTGAGAAGCTTGAATTTTGTCATAAGTGTGACAGAAAAACCCTGGAGGGTTTTAAGCAGGAAGGAATTGAGGTCTTTACGTTTTCGAAGAGCACTGTCTCTACTGTATTAAGAGTAGACTGCAGAGGCCAGGGGTAGAAGCAAGGCATTTGTCTAGAGGTGGCTGCATGAGGACGAGAGTGGTCATGGACTGGAGGTGGAGGAGACTGCCTGTGAAGGAGGGAGGATGCTGAGACCACACGGGACAGTTGTGTGAATTCAGGTCTCTTCACATGTTTCACAACGGTAGGTGTCAGTAAGTGCTGATGAACTGTCCCCATAAAACAGCGCACCTGTGCTGCTGTAGAAAGCGAATCCGCTGGATGCACTGAACTCCTCAACAAAGAACTGAGACAGGGAAATATGTTCATCAGTATTTAAGGACTTGTTCCCATGTTTCCAGTACAGCATTAAATCCTCTTCGGTGTAGGCATCTGAAACAAGAGAATAGTTTCCCATCACTGGCTCTTGTGAGTTCCACAAGGTATTCACCATGTTTTACACAGTTCTATATCTCCAGTGCCTGGTCCAATGACATGTATATATTGGGTACTGAAAAATGTGTTTGCCGATAGACTGATAATACCCATACCTACCAAAGGAAAAATAATCTCCAAAACTTAGACCCTAATTACTGGCATAGTGTGGAGGCTTTTCTGGTGCCCATGTGAGGACTGAAAACTCTCCAAATAGCTGCTCCCATACCTGCGTGCACTGAGTGATGTCGTAGCACTGCCTGTCCCCCATCACAGGTCCCACCCTAGGTCTTCTGGCCCCATTAGTTTTGCGGCTCTCTTGCATGAAATTACAAAATGAGCTGTGCTCAGTAAAGAATTTTCTCCTGAAATCAACTAGCATTACAGAGAGTTTCTAATGGATTTGGGGAGGAACAACCACTGAAATTCCCAGCATTTTTGCCACATTGTGAAAAACTGCCGTTAGTTTTAAGATGTATCAAAAACAGCTGATGGATCAAAGTGATTGACAAGGAGTTGGCTCGGATGCTCTCTGACAGGGTTTTGATCAGCGAGTGTATGTCTAGAGCTGCATTTTTCTAGGGAACCCAACCAAGTACATTTAATGGAAGATTGTGATTTACATGGGAACATGAATTCCAGAGCTTTCCTAATTTGGGAAGTGTGTCAGTCTATATAGTTAATAGCATATAGAATATCCCTTTTTAGGGAGCTTGTTCCTTTACAACCCTTGTGGAAACTGCAGAATATGTAATTATGAAAACATTCTTTCCCTGGATGTTCTCTTTTGGCAGGCAATCTGCCATCATCCTTAGTTTTTTAAAAAAAATGTAACTATTTTGAACAAATATATTTAACTTATATCGAGATTTTTAATGCTTGTTAAGAACACGCTTATTTACACGTAAGTAGGTGATGGTGTGTTCAGATCATGAGTGCCTGCTCCATCAGTAAGTAGGACTTACAGCTTTCCAGTTCAAGGGAACAGTTTTGAGTGTCAAGAGGAAACCTGCTGAAATCCATAAAGCACATGGCTGAAACAGTTATCCTGGAAGAGGAAAGAGAAAACAAAAACTGCAGGTCATTTAACCATATGGCTGAATGAACATGCAATATTGAAGCTTCCTGTTTGCTGGTCTTGTGTGCCTTTCAAGAATAATGCAACACAGGGGTGTCTTGGGTGGCTCAGTCAGTTGAGCATCTGACTTCGGCTCAGGTCATGATCTCATGGTTCATGAGTTGGAGCCCCACATTGGGCACTCCACTGTCAGCACAGAGCCTGCTTCGGATCCTCTGTCCTGCCCTCTCTCTCTCTCTCTCTCTGTCTCCCCCGCTCATGTTCTCTCTCAAAATTAAATAAACATTAAAAAAAAAAAAGAATGCAAAACAGGCATTACTATCCTCTAGCAAAATAATGTAGAAGGAAGCAAACTCAGGAAGGTGGGTGATTTGCTAAAGACACAGAGTTAATGAGTGAATTCCTGCTCTAACAATTGCTTCTAATCTCACACTTTCCTAGTCAGCTCCCTCTATATTTTTTGGCTGTGATGTCCTTCAGAAAAACATACTTCGGAGGGAGGAGACTTTTTTGTTTGTTTGTTTTTTAATGTTTATTTATTTTTGAGAGAGAGAGAGAGAATGAGTGAGCCAGAGAGAGAGAAAGAGAGAGCATGAACGGGATAGGGGCAGAGAGAGAGAAGACAGAATCCTAAGTAGGCTCCAGGCTCTGAGCTGTCAGCACAGAACCTGACGTGGGGCTAGAACTCATGAACCATGAGGTCATGACCTGAGCCAAAGTCAGGTGCTTAACTGACTGAGCCACCCAGGCACCCCCAGAGGGAGAAGATTTTTAAATGGATTTAAATATCTTCTGGTTTTTGGAAGATCTAAACTTAGTTTCTAGTCATAAAGGGCTGGGATAGTGGTAATAAAAGCCTATGGGTAAAGGTTTCTCTCACAAAGCAAGTTTGCCTGAGAAAATTCTCTTTCCAGGAGCGAGGAGAAAGCCTGGAGCATTTTTAGTTATAGATTTATGGGCACAATGCATAATTCAGGTGCCATTAAACCTTGCATACTGATGAATATTGTTTTTTCAAATTTTATATCCTCCTAGGTTTTCTGGCTTTAGGCAGATGCTGCTATACTATGATCCTGCCTCAAAGTAGAAACTCTGGTACCCACAACAGCAGATCAGAGGTTTATAAAAGGCCCCTGAGCAAGTCTGCAAAAAAAAAAAACAAAGGCAACAGCTGCTTCTACCCATGGTGCCCCAAGTTAATCAGGAACGATTTTATCTTCCATGGGTTGAATTCTGTTGTCAACAGTCATGCAGCAAAATGCCAAGCCAGGGAGGTTTCTGGATGACTTTGTGTCACAAAACATACTCATTTTACCATATTCCTGGCGCAGTTGACTTTTGAACAATACAGGGTTAGGGAGGCCAACCTCTGTGTAGTTGAAAATCCTGTGTAACTTTTGACTCCCCAAAAACCTAACTGCTAAAAGCCTACTGTTGACAGGAAGCCTTACCAACAACATAGTTAACACATATTTTGTATATGTATTTTATACCGTATTCTTACAGTAAAGTTAGCTAGAAAAAAGAAAATGTTACTAAGAAAATCATAAGAGAAAATACATTCACAGTACTGTACTATATTTATTGAAAAAAATCCACATATAAGTAGATGTGTGCAGTTCAAATCTGTGTTGTTCAAGTGCACTTTAAAGCTGGAAGGGACCACTGAAGTCTTTGAGTCTACCTCCTTCACAGTATACACATGGATAAATTAGCAACCAAAGTGCTTAGGTGAGTCGTGGTAAAGAAAATATTATTCATGACACTTGGTGTTTTTTAAAAAAAATTTAGTGTTTATTTATTTTTGAGAGAGAAAGAGAGATGGAGTGCAAGTGGGGGAGGGACATAGAGAGAGGGAGACACAGAATCCGAAGCAGGCTCCAGGCTCTGAGCAGTCAGCACAGAGCCTGATGCGGGGCTCAAACCCATGGACTGCAAGATCCTGACCTGAGATGAAGTCGGACACTCAACAACCGACTGAGCCACCCAGGTGCCCTCATGACACTTGTTAAAGAACAGTAAGGAAGATTTTATTTAGGGGGACTACTATACTTTGGTTTATATAGGGAGAGAGTGGGCTCAGGTCCAAATATAACAAGGCAAAGTGGGAATTTATAGCCAAGGAGTAGGGTGGGGGGCAGTGGATGGGAAATTACTCAGAGGAAACATCAGGGGTGAGGGGTGGGTGATTCTGGCTAAAAGGACCTAACAGGATCCTTGCTGAAGGCAGACCAGGGTGATCAGACATCACTTGTGGGTAGTGCAAGATGAGGACTCTTATCAGATTTGAAGGGAGGCAGATATTATGGATGGAGGATTCTGGCTAAATGGACGTAGCAGAGATAAACATGGAAGCTCAAAAGTCAGAGTCTAGGTGAGAAGTAAGTTCAGAGGAGCCTTAGCAGAGTTTGGTCAAAGAGAGAATCTCCGTCAGTAGATAGTGTCAGAACCAAGCCTGGAACCAGGTAACCTGTCTCTGGGCTTTGACTGGCTCTGCTATCAACTGGAATAGCTGTGTGGACAACAATTTTGAGTCCTCCTTTGTTTGGGGATTCCCCAAGACCATCCTCAGGTTCCATGATTCACTAGAAGGACTCACAGGACTCATCAAAGTTGTTCCACTGACAGTTATGGTTTATTGTAATGAAAGGACACAGATTAAAATCAGCAATGGAAAGGCACAGAGGGCAGGGTCCAGGAGAGACCAAGAGCAAGTTTCCATCTGTCCTGTTCGAGTGGAGCTATGTGGGCAGTGCTACTGTCCTAACAGTGAGTGTGACAACACACATGGAGGACTTCCAACCAGGGGAGCTACCTGAGTCTTGGGGTCCAAGGTATTAACTGAGAGGTGGTCACACAGGTCTGGCTGACCTCGGTCTCCAGCCCCTCCAGGGGTCAAGCTGCCACTGGGTAGCTCAAAGCCTCCTCCATAGATCACATTGTTAGCATAGACTTCCTGGTGTGGCCCAAGGCTTCAGGGGAAACAAAGATCTTCTTAACAGGCAAGATATTTCAAGGGCTTAGAGGTCATCTCCCAGGAGCCAGAAATCATTCTTTGGAATATGTAGGGTACAGACAATCTACTCAACTAATTCTTTCATCAAAATTAATTATTTTGAAAAGTTAAAAGTTTTACAAAGTTGGTACCTTGGCCAGATGCTGCCATTCTGCTACTGATTCCTGGTAAGGCCCAACTCTAGTTCTTATTAGAGTCCCATGTTACACCTGACTTAAAATTTCTATTGAAAGTGGTTCTCCTGGGGGGCTCAGTGGGTTAAGCGTCAGACTCTTGATTTCTGCTCAGGTCATGACCTCACAATTCGGTTCATGAGATCAAGCCCTGTGTCAGGCTCCACGCTGAGAGCACTGAGCCTGCTTAGGGTCCTCTCTCCCTCTCTCTCTGCACCCCTTCCTGCTCTTGTATGCTCTCAAAATAAACATTTTTTTAAAGTTCTATTGAAAGTGGTACTTTCCTTTTCATTGCATTTTTATTTTCATTTTTTAAAATAGTTATTTATTTTGAGAGAGATCATGTGCGAGCATGAGTGGGGGAGAGGCAGAGAGAGAGGGAGAGAGAGAATTCCAAGCAGGCCCCACACCCCGCATGGAGCCCAACGCGGGGCTTGATCTCAGGACCGTGAGATCATGCCTTGAGCCAAAATTAAGAGTTGGAGGCTTAACTGACTGAGTTAAGAGGCAGCCCCCTTTCATTACATTTTTAAAAACATTGACATCAATATGGCAATAGCACCTTTGCACTAAAGTGAGCAAGGTGTAGAGCAAAAAGAACCTATTAATTTTCTATTACCACTTGGTGGCTTAAAACAACAGAAGTTTCTTCTTTCACAGTTTTGGAGGACAAGTCTGAAATCAGTATCACTGCACTGAAATCAAGGTGTCAGAAAGGTCCTGTTCCCTCCAAAGGCTTTTGGGGAAAATTCATTCCTTGCCTCTTCCAGCTTCTGGCAGCTGCTGGCATTCCTGTACTAGTGGCTGCGTCACACTCCACTCTCTGTCTTAATGGTCACATTGTCTTCTACTCTTCTTTGCATGTCAGATCATACTCTACCTTTCTCTAACAAGGATGCTTATGATGGATAGCACTTAGATCCCAACCAACTGATCGAAGATAATTTTCCTATCTCAAGATCCTTAACTTAATCATATCTGCAAAGATCCTTTTCTTCTTTCTTTTCTTTCTTTCTTTCTTTCTTTCTTTCTTTCTTTCTTCTTTTCTTTCTTTTTCTTTCTTTCTTTCTTTCTTTCTTTCTTTCTTTCTTTCTTTCTTTCTTCCTTTTTTCTTTCTTTCGCCAAATAAGGTAACTTCTGCATGTTTCAAGGACTAGGACATGGATACCTTTCAGGGAGCCATTTTTTCCCCCCACAGTCTTACTATAGAGTTTTCCTAGGATTTTTAAGATATGAAAAAAATTGAATTACTTGGATTTACTACACATTTTAAGAATTACCAATGATAAGCCATCAGTATGTATAGGATTTATTAGGCTAAAAGAATATATAGTGCATTAAAGATGGAGAGCTGTTATAGCATAGTGTCAGAAAAAATGGTGGCTTTTAAAATTTTTTGTTAGCGTTTAGTGGAGAGAGAGAGAGAGAGCGAGCGAGCGAGCACAAGTAGAGGAAGGGCAGAGAGAAGAGTAAGACACAGAATCCTAAGCAGGCTCCAGGCTCTGAGTTGTCAGCACAGAGCCCAATGTGGGCTGACCTGAGCCGAAGTTGGACTCTCAACTGACTGAGCCACCCAGGCGCCCCAGAAAAAAATGTTTTGAATTAAAAAAAATGAAAAGGAAGTGAACAAATTAGCAGTAATTTGAATGATGACTATACCTTCTTGTGAAAAATGAAGGAGATAATTAAGAAAACTAGTTAATCCAAGATTCTAAGACTGTTTGGTAGTATGTAGTTGGTGAAGAAGAAAAGCAATTTTATGTACCTATAAAACTGTGGGCCAGGCTTTTAGGGGTTTCCATAATTCAGCTCCACTCTGTCCCATCTTCTTTTCTATCATTCTCCAACAATACACTGTATAGGTAGCGTTAGACTAGAAAACTATTCTTTAAAATCTGAAGTTAGTAGAAGGAAAAATCATATTTTCTGCTGTGTCTCAGTCTTCAGGATGACTAAATAGACAGTAATAGTGTGAGCTTAGCCTGAAGTGAGGTGCACTAACTTTAGTGCAGACGACCCTGGCATAGGGAAGCCAAAGACGGTCCATAGCCCTCCTTACCTGAGACTGAAAAGGACATTTCCATCAGGGTACACACGTAGCATGATGTTCTCCACAGTTGTATCATGGATGAATGATCTTTTAGAATGGACAAAAAATATGTCAGGCACCCAAATCTTTTTGATCAGTCTATGATCAAAGGTCATGCTTTTGTTTGTTGTGCTAGGAAAGGAGAGCCTCTCATCTTTCCAGTAATGTCTGAGATAAAAAGTCATTGTAAAGTCCTAGGCAGAGAGAAACAGAGACAAGTCAAAGCCACTAAGAATATAGTTCAGGATGACCAATCAATACCATTAGTCCCAGATTGATTGGCATGGGTGTTAATGACATATAAAATGAATGGCATATATTGTATTTTCTGGTAGATTTAGGGTAAATCCAGTGAGCTTGAGTTGCAGAACCTCTCCTTCATCTGGAGTCTGGTGAATGTTGAGTTTCTGGGAACCATAGAGAATTCAATTTGGGTAAGGGAAGCCAGGTTATAACTGGGAAACATTTCTGTGTAAGTACTGGTCAATCACCTAAAGAGATCTCAGAAGAAAAGGACTTGAATCTACATGGCCCAATATTTTATTTTGACTTATTTTTTTTATTGCAAATAAATATTCACTTTTATAATGTATCCATAAATTTATATTGTTTTTGTTAAGGAACAAAACTACAGTCCCATAAAACTACAGCCCCTTCCCCCCCCATTTGAATAACCAACAGTCCCACAAAAATAGATACAGTATTTATTAGAGCTATTAGTGGTAAGTGTGCTGTCAGAGATCCTGAGATGGAGACAATGATTTTCTTCAGCTTGGGAGACAGAAAGAATACCAATAAATAGTGGTTCTCAAATTCTAGTGTGCAAAAGACTTACCTGTGAATTTGTTAAAATGGCATATTCCCCAGAAGCTAGTACCAGTGTGGCTCAGGGAATTGAATTGTTAGTGTATAACCCAATTGTAAAGAGATAAATATGAGGGGGGGGATTATATTAATGTTACTTTAGAGAAAAAAAATTTGGTTAGTCACTAATTTGAGCTTTGTTTGGATCTCAGATGCTATGTTTACTATTATGTTTGTTTGAACAGAAACTCCCCTAGCTACATTCAAGTCATTGGGTGTGGACAATGATGATATGTTTCACCTTTCACAATTGTTTATTTCTTACTATCATTTATTTCCCAGCAATACTCAAATTATTGTCTAACTAGTTACATGTGATAGAACTTTGACATTTATTACAGAGGCAAAAGACAAACTTCAGTAAACTACAAATAAGTCACCAATTAATGATGAACTAGATTTGTTTGTTTTTTGTTTTTTGTTTTTTAGGTTAGGAATAGAGGTACATTGTATTATTGCTCTTGGTTAATCAGGGAGCATCAGCCATGTCTAATTTTGGATTAGGGTGAGCGCAAAATAAATAGAATGATTCATTCATTCCCCTAACACTACTCTATAGGGAGTTGTGTGGGTTACTGCATGGACTGCTTTAGTAAGCATATATTTAGAATTAGGTGCTCAGTCTGATCTGAAGGTCACTGGGCAAACACAGAGCCTAGGAAGTGGAATAGCAGACATTGGTACATGTCAGTGATACATCAACATCACCACTAGTGGGCACTATCATGAGAAAGCAGGCGGAAGAGCATGTTGAGAAGAGCGTGGGGTAAAACTCCAAGGAATTGAAAGTGAATTCCGGGTAGGGCAAGTGAATGACAGGGTGGGAAGATGATAAATGAGAAGCAAAAGAAGCCAACACTGGGTGTCACTTATAATTAGAAAGCATTTTCTCATTGGGCATGGAGAACCCAGTCCAGTTTTAGCTGATACTGAATACCAGAGAAGACCTTAATCAGGAGTGAAGGATGGGGTTGGGTTTTAGGGGCAGAGGGTGGAGACAATGAGTCATTCAGGGATAATTTAGAGATTGTGCTAGGAAAGGGGAAATGAATGTTTGCTCCTAGAGTACAACAGGCTCAATAAAATGTCAGTAAAAGCAGATTTTGGTCAGATAAGACCCAAAACCTTCTAAACAAGGCATTTTTTAATAGTGAGTACTATCTGTGCTATTGCCTTTGGAGTAGTGTGGTTAAAATGAAGGAAGTTTCAGAGTGAACTGAAATAAATATTGAATTTTCTAATGATAAGGACTAGAAGAACATTAATTGAAGATTGAAACAAGATATAATATGTCATAAAAAATTTTGTTTAGAATTTTTGGAATTTTTATATGTCCTATAACTTTTCATTCAGCTAGCATTTTGATGGCAATAACTAGCTGGGGGAATCACTATAAATAAAAATATTAAGTATACATATAAAAATATTGCTTGATCTTCCAACTTCATTGATTAATGTTTTCTAGATCTGGCTTCCTTAAGAGATTCCCAAACTTGTTCTCTCTCTCTCTCTCTTTTTTTTTATATATATCTTCATTTTTTTTTTTTACATTTTATCTTTAATTGTGGTATTTGCATATTATAAAAGTAATACATACAATCTAAATTTCAAGCAGAAAGAAGTGAATAGAGAGAGCCAAGCAACTTCAACTCTCTGACGTAAAATAAGAAAAATATATAATAGCAACATACATAACTAAAATGGTTCATTAAAGCACCAGTGATTTTGACACTATTCTCTAACCTTCCAGGGAAAGACCAATGTCTTGTGGAGAAACTTACCATGTTAACCTCCGAAATGCTGTCAAGGCTTTCAATTTGGACATCTATACCCACTGGTACTGGAGACCCTTAAGAAAGAAGAATGAATGATATACTCAGAAATCATTGAAATTATTTTGGAAACATTCAAAGCAGAGAGAGATCAATGTTGCAAATTAACAACAAATTTCTCCAGTATCCATCAATATATTATCATACAGTCAATGACAATAAAAGGGCACATGTATAAATAAACGTTATTTCAATAATTATTATATATTTGCTTATGAATAACTCAATATCTTCCTTCTTATAGTATACTTAGAGTATAGAAATAGTGTTTCAATTTTTTTTGTTTTAGCTAGTAGTGATTTAAAAAGGAACAACGTTTCAAAAATATGTCTGAGAGTATGTAGAATTATGGGTTCTCTATGGTAAGAGTCATATTTTATAGTCAGGGAGTGTAGTCATGGAATTCATGACTCTGGGCAGTGTGGAAGCCTTTTCTCTTTTGCCAAAAACTCAGCCTCTTTCACTTGGGCTGTGCATGGCAGACTAGAGGAACACAGATGATAGTATAGTGCTGTGCAGGAACGTCAGACATTCACAGATGTCCCTTTGCAGAACATCAGTAACCACAACCTGCAGTTCGGATGAAGCAAACATCCTTCAAATGTATTTGAGGGACATCTGGATGGCTCAGCCGGTTAAGCATCTGACTCTTGATTGGGCTCAGGTCATGATCTCACGGTTTGTGAGTTCAAGCCTTGCATCGGGCTCTACGCTGACAGTGCAGAGCCTGGTTGGGATTCTCTCTCACCCTTTTCCTCTCTCTCTCTCTCTCAAAATAAATAAATACATTTGAAAAAAAAAGAAATATGTTTGATGAAAATGTATTGAAAGTCAGAACTGGAGAAACCTCAGACAGACTAGTGTTGAGATGTGTTTGCAGTTGGACCTCAGAGAACCAGGTTGTGACCAATTCTCAATTAAATCTTATTGTCTCTGTATAATTCTGAGTTTTAAAAAATGCTTTCAACTATTTTTGAAAAAATAGAAATCTTGCCTAGATGGATCCCAGGTGGCTGTTTTAGTCAAGATTCTGAGAATGAGAAGGGTCAGGCTAGAAAACTTCCTTACTGAGGCTAATTAATGTCTGGATGTGGTATATGTGACATACATGTGCATACAATTCAACAAAGCACCTAATTATTGTGTTTTAAATGTGCAACTTATTTTAAAACAAGATATGCCTCACCAGTCCCTGTCCACCATCTTTGACTCCCTTCATTAAGGCTGAAGATACCTTCCTTTTACAAATACAGATTCCCTTTTATGTTCCATAATATACCCTTATATCATTCCTTATTTACAGAGGTTGTAGCTGGACAGGCCCCGGGTCTGTCACTCAAATATATTTCTGCTCCAGGCTTCAGGAACACCTTACTTGCATCTTAACCACTAATGACTTCCTGCCATATTGGATTAATTACTTTCTACAACATTAATTATGACAATTATATTTAAAAACTGTTTAATGATAATTATGATTATGCATTAACTTGGGGACTATTCAGTATTACTCCATTACTTATTGAGTTCAGCTCTAATGCTTTTGTTTTGTTTACTCTTTTTCCTTAATTAGTATAGATATCAAAATAAAACTTCATGGCCTTTCAGGATGGCTTCAGGATGAGTACATCTTTCCATTAACTCCAATATTCCAAGGGACTGAAAGGCTTGCCAAGATCTTAGAGAGAGGTAGCAGGAATGTCCTGGTTAAAATTCCGGTGTTAGAGTCACAGACTAGAGTTTGAACCTAACTCAACCACTCATGTGATCTAGGGTAAGTAACATTTCTAAGCTTAGTTTCCTCACCTTTAAAATCTCACTTTGGAGACTTATTTGAGGACTAGAAACAATGCGCAGCTAGTATACTTAATTGGTGCTCAATAAATGGCACTAATAAATGTTATTGCTACTGCAATTCAGCAAAAATGTGAACCTGCTCCGAGGAATGCAAGCTACTATTCCCAATCCGACACTCAAACATTTAGATAATCCATCCACCTCTGACTAGAAAATGATACAGTGCTTCTCATAGAGTTCTTATTTCATGACAAAACCTGAGAACAATTTGCATTTGGGATCGTGTGACTTGTAAGCAGATCCCAGTTGCTAATGACTATTTCTGCAAGGCTGGGGCAGTCTTATAAAGCCACCATCCAAGGAGGTAGTTATGCCACCACTGGGTGAGCAACAGACCCTCAGGGTTGTTTGAAGGCTGATCTGAGAGTGGGGTAGAAACATGGCGAGGAATGGACTCCTAGAAACATTCTACATTTCTTTTTTTTCCTTTTGATTTATTCTATTCTTGTGGGGATGAGCTCTGCCATTTTGAAGAAAAGTGTTTGCCCTCAGATGCCATCTGACCTCATTTTTAGCTCCTTTGAACTTCATGCTCAAGTGTACCTTGTCTGGGGTCTGGGAATCTACACATTCCTGAAAACCGTGTGGAGAGTGAGGGGCATATAAAGGCAAGATACAAAATCACAGAATTGTGGAGATACATATAAGTGCCAAAAATTCTTTTTACAGATAAGGAGCTAAGTCTCAGAGAAAGGGTAATAATAAAGCAGATACATTAAAAATCATAGAATTTCTAGCCACTACACCTGAACTGAAGCCAAACTTCCGTAAATCCCTTAATTCCTCTGAGCTTAGTTTGCTTATCTGTAAAATAGTGGGAACAATTCTGTGGTACTTCCCTAATAGCATCGCTGTGAGACTAAGCAAAACAATGCATGCCAAGACCTTGACCTAACCCCATTCAAATGGCTTAACAACCAACTTGTTCAGCATCTACTGGATCAGTCATACATATAACAACATGAATGATAACAATTTCACAAATACTTTCATTAATGCTATATATAAAGCATCTGGAATACAGTAAAAATAAATAAATATTAACCATTATCATGTGTTGATTTCCCAGGATCATTGTCTAGGTAGTAGTACACACATTTATAGTCTTTTTTTTTACATACATAGATTGCCAGTCTATTTTTTACATAGGCTGGGATAAGAGTTAAATAACAGTTACACATCTTATGTGGATAGTGCATTTAAAATACATTATACAATATTTTATCCCATATTGTCATTATAGCCGTTTGTTAGGTAGGTTGAGCCAATGTTAGATGCAATTGACATACGACCTAACTCATTCAGAGATACTGGAGAGCTTGCCTGAAACCTAAAGCTAGTTAATGCAGGAATACGGCCAGGTCCCTCTGGCTCTCAGTCTAGTCCTTTTGTTTGACAAGCATGGATTATACAAGCGGCTCTCACAACATTAGCTTTTGACTGGACCCAGTAGTCAGTATCTAGATGCTAAATTGATTTCACTTTAAAGAACCAAAGAAATCATCATCTCTAGGACTGAATCAAAAAAGCCCTTAGTGATGAGAGATGTAAAGGGTGGGGAAAACATAAAGAAAATGAGCTGCAATTTACAACCCAAGTTAAACAAAAAGCTCCCCTAAATTTATATCCTCCTGTTTCCACATAATGAGTCAATTAATCTTCTAATGCTTTATAAAAGTAAAAAACACTGCGGTAGCAGCTGGTTTTAATGTTAAAGCTAATTAGGAAAACACATTAAGGCAAGAGAAGTGCTGAAGTTACATTTAGCTCAAGAGGAAAGAGGTATGTGCGTGTGTTTATGTTGTGGACAAGTATAAAGAAAGAGAAGATAAATTAAGGCTTGTCATTTATATCCTGCAGCCTGATTTCCTCAGGAAGGCAGCCTTGAGAGAACAGAGAAATGGGTCACCAGTAGGAAGAACTGTTCTGACCAAGACAAGAGAAGGTTAAGGACTGTATTTCACAGAGCTACCAGTGTGACACTTCGGACTGAATTTATGGATTTTTCTGCCTGAAATGACTGAACATGTAAGACATTTGGACACCATTTAGCCCCAGTCCACGATTGTCAGAAAAATTTCCTCATCGTGGGATGATTTGCCACCTGCCACTAAGTAGCGTTTCAATTGCATTTTTAATAACCCCACAAAGTAGCCTCAGGAAAAATAAAATTGTTTAAAAAAATCATTCCCACTCAAAATCTTAACAGGTTATCTCTAGCAGATCAAAACAAGTGGAAATGTAAGGTCAATTCTATGTTTTTGTTGGGGATGGGGATGATACACGGAAGGGAGAATGAAGATTTAAGTGTTTTAAGGTAAGAACAGAGGGTCCTCACCTGGCAATCTACAGTCGTGTTTCTCAAATTGTAAAGTGTGTTCAAATCACCTGGGGATTTTATTAAAATGTGGATTTTGATTCAGAAAGCCTGAGCAAGGAGCCTGAGCTTCTGCATTTCTAACTAACTTCCAGGTGATTCTGCTGCTGGCCCTTGAACCATTTTGAGCGATAAAGCTTTCCAGAGTGCGTGTTTCAAGGTCCAAATAAAGGACAGTCATTTTTCTCTTAATCTTTCTGGGTTTCGATGGTTCAAAATAGACTCATAGAAACCCTTTTCTCTAAGATAGGAATTCATTTAATTGAGGAACCTAAACTGACATGAATTAGGGCAGCGTTTTGAATTGGTGTTGAAGAGCATACATACATCATTTTGGGGTTCTAATTGCTGTTCAGGAGACGCCAGTTCCAAGCCATTCCTGTGAGACTGGCGCCCTCTAGTGTCTAAAAAGGCCCCCAGCAGGGCAAATTTCTCTCCATAACATTTTCTCCAACTAAATGGTGATGGAGGAGAATTTAGAAGTTTTGTATAGAATCATGGAGACCAAGGTACAGAATGATTGCATGATAGTTGTAGAGCATATTATCAAAACTTTGGGCAAACTTTGGTTGGGGGAAAGAAACGGTCTGTTGGGAATGGAAATTGAGGGCTCAGGCATCTTTAGGAGAATTGCAGTAAGGAACACATTTAAGGAACAGCGATGTGAAGAAAACAAGATAAAGAAGCGGCCTTGGAAGTGAAACACGGACATACTTTAACTTGATTAATTTAGAGGCATCTAAAACCTTAAATTCAGTTCAGTAAGTGTGAGGAATTCTCTGGAAAAACCAAAAATGAAACTCACCAAGATCTACTCTGATGCTGATAATCGAATTCAGCAATTATCAAGTGTGATTCTCAGACCGGGTTCATCAGCATCACCTAGGAATTTATTAGAAATGCAAATAGTTGGCTCCACCCAGACCTAGGGAATTAAAACCTGGGTGCGGGGGTGGGGCTTAGTAATTCCTTGTGAAGAATCCCCCAGGTGGCTTTGATGCCTGCTAATGTTTTAGTCAAGAATGTAATAAAATCAAAGCTAGACACTCAGAATTGCAATCCAATGCATTCCATGAAATTAAACAACAACAAATATCCTTCAACATAAAAACTACCTGACGTACTGTTTTATTTTACCTGCTAACAAGTGAGTTCTCTGAGGTACCAACAAGCTTCCTTTGGTCATAACCACGATATAGCAAGTGTCACGTTTCCCCCACCCCATGCCAAAAATCAAAGTATTCGTTATTTTTGAAAAAGCTGCACCTGTTCTACAGCTGAGGGCTCCTGCCTTCTCAGCCTCACATTCACTTCTCTCACATCCACACCTCTAGTATTCTGAAAAGTTGTCAGCTCGGGAATGGTAGGAATGGGGAATTTAGGTCAATGATAGAAGAATCAGGATGGATTTAGCAGTAAGGCAGAGAGTTCACATTAACCGCTTGATTTTACCACATTCTCTGTGTCTCTGGAAAACTTGGTACCCTCTGTGATGCAACTGTATGCTCATTAAACAATCTGAGGAAAGACATTGTTCCAAGTGTGTCCTTACATGGCTTTCTTCTGTCCTCCTTCTTTGCCCTTGGATCTTGGTTTTCCCACATACTGCTTTGTTCATGGCTTTAAGCAAATCTCCTAACCTCTCTACACCCCAGTCTCCACACTGGAATAGGAGGGATCACTATAGTGCCTACTTCTTAGGAGGGTGGAATAAGTTAGTGCATTAACAGCCTCAGCCCAGTGCTTGGCACTCCAACATTCTGATCAACTTCAGTTGCTGGAAGTGATTGAAGGAGAAACCTGAACAGAGTCGTTCCATAGGGAGCCATGGCATTTGGTGTGTTAGTCCTTCCACCAAAGCCGGGCACTCCAGCTTATAAGGTTATTCAACAAGATTTCATGAATATCATTACATAATACAATTTACAGGTTTTAGTTGAAAGAATAAGCTGCTGTATAGGCAGTATATATCCATTCACTATTTATTGAACACATTGTTTACAATTAGTAAACAGTATGAATATTTACTAAAGATATTTACCTTATTTGTGATTAATTTAAAATCTATCAATTGTTCTCATTCAAGACAGTATCATTGTAAACATTTTTTTTAATAGATGGTCTTTGCTTGTGTTTTGGTCTTAATTGCTTCAAATTTTCAGCTTCATTTTGACAGTGCAATGGATTGTGACGTAAGAGTTTCATTTTTTTTATTTTTAATAAAAAAAATTTAAACATTTATTTTTGAGAGACAGAGAGAGATGGAGCACAAGCAGGGGAGGAGCAGAGAGAGAGAGGGAGACACAGAATCCAAAGCAGGCTCCAGGCCCTGGGCTGTCAGCACAGAGCCCTACGCGGGGCCCAAACCCACAGACCGCGAGATCATGACCTGAGCTGAAGTCAGCTGCTTAACGAACTGAGCCACCCAGGCACCCTAGACATAAGAGTTTTAGAAAGATAATACTCACCTCCAAATCCAGGTCTCATTGCAAAATCATGGTCCTCTATATGGAGAAGTTGTTTGTATTTCAGGAGCCATGCTTTGGTGCTGTCATTGTTTCTCATTCTGGTTTCTTGTTTGCTCTCCCTCCAAAGGGGAAAAAATAGTTTTAAGATACATATACTTCTGGGTGTTTTGATTTAGGTTAGCCTTCTGTATTCAACATGGTATCCTCTGAAATATATGCATAGAAGCTCATTTTCTCAGCTTGTATTACACTTAGCTAAAGATCTGCCAACATTTACTCTTCATTATATAAAGGTGGGGCAGGTAAGGGAACCCAAAATTTGGAGCAACTTATATAAAAAACTAAGTTTGGATGTAAGGCATTATTACATAATGCAGGCAGTATTTCTCCAAATATGGTTTTTAGACCAGGAAAACCTTATCGCTACCACCTTACCCCAGATCACCTAAACCAAAGCCTGAGGAAACAAGGCCTAGGAATCTGCATTAAACATGTTACCTAAGTGATTTTTGGGGTCACTGAAGTCAAAGTACTTCTGCACCAAGACAGTAAAAAAAACAAAACAAAACAAAACAAAACAAAACAAAACAAAACAAAATCACTGTAGAATTGTAAACTGATGAAAATAGTTTTACAAAGACAAAAGGAGCAGAAAGTATGGGTACAAGTTGAGATTTGAGTAGAATGTCTGCAGTAGGTTCTAGGACCTGAGGGATGGCAATGGGAATGGAGAAGGATCCAAAGGAAAAATGGATGGATTTGACAATTGATTGGATTTGATGTCTGGTTCAGTTGTGAAGTGAGCAAAGTCAATTTTCACCTACAGTTATCCAGGATGTAGGCAAAGTGGGGAGTGGCCTCTCAGGTGTTCCCAGAGTCTGATGTGGGGGTTTACTCTGTTACTCCCTGGGTCTGTGAACTCGGGAAAGTTTCTGGATCTCCCTGACTCATTTTCTGTCCTGCACACTTCGAGTGATTTGCTAAGTGTGGAAGCAGAATGTCTGTGGAAGCCCAGCTCCTCTGGAACTAGAGCAGCTCTCTTGTTCTGGGTGCTAGAGACTTTGCTCAGCTCCTTCCAGAGAAACATGCCTGCCATCTTCACTGTCATCATCAGCAGCAGCAGCAATAACAACACCAGGCATTGAAGGGGCTACTAAGTGAATTCTAGTTACTCTGAATTCCTGATATGCTTTTGCATTAATAAATGTCTTCTCCAGAAAAGAGATGTGAACTTTAACATAAGACTTGTGGATACGATTTCTTAGCTTAATAAAGTGACTTTGATGGTGAGAATTTCACATCCTGAAGCAGCTGATTCAAGAAATATGTCCAGGCTTAAAGGCACCTATCACCATCCATATGGTTTTTCAATAGGGAAGTTTCTGGTTGAGACCCTCAGAGGTTTATGTATGTATTTTTGTCATTGAGAGAAATGGGGAAGTTGGAAGAAGAAATTTGCCTTGCGTAGAAGACAATGAGTTTGATTTTAAACTTGTTAAGTCATTGTATTCTACAATAAGTGAACATATAGAACTATTTCTTCCAAGGATCTCAAATTAACTAGAACCTTTCTTTTAAGGAGCTAGAGTGAACTATTTATTGAAAAAGTAATAGTAGCTAATGTGTTTATTAGATGCCTATTATGTTCAAGGTCTCATGCCAGGATGTTTTATAAATATTAAATATTATCTTCTTTGGCATGCGTCTGAATCACCTGGCTTGCTGGGACCTATTCCCAGAACTTCTGATTCAAGAGGCTGGGGATGTGAGAGTTTGCATTTATAACAGTTTCTTAGGAGAACCATTGGTCTGGAAAACAGTTGACATTTAATAAAAGCTAGCTAATTGTTATCATTTTAGGAAAACTCAAGTGTAGCTTTGGGTAGAAACTCATGAAAATTTGTGAATTCCTTTGATAATATAATATAACAAAATGGCCGTCACTTGTCTTTTTGGAAGCATACATTTTCAGAAGCATCATGTGATTGAAAAGGATAAATCTTAATTAAGATTCCCAAGAACACTGAACACAGAGCCTATGTGAAGTGCACTCTTGGCAGGTAGTGAAAGCACACACACTATTTTTATATTGAGGGCTCTTCTGATGCACAGTGAGATGTCCCATACTTATTTATTTTTTACTTTATTTATACCTCATCTATTTTTCACAAAGGATTATGTGGGTTACATACCCTCTAAAAGAATTTGAAAATCTACGTACTCACACATTTAAATAGATGTCAACAATTTTCTCATTATAAACTTTAAAATTACTTAAATATTGAAAATTTAGAAGAAAACCCATATCCTTCCTCTTAATGTATTCAATGAATCTAAATACCCACACTATGCAATTTAAAATATGTGAATAAACTCCCCCTTTAAAAAGGAGAATAAACTCCCCTTTATATCATTCCTTGTTTTCTTTGAACTTGTATTTCCATTTTATTACCTTCATAGAATTTTATCACCTCACCATATTTCTTTGCAAGAATATATGTATACACATTAACTATTGTGTATTATGTATACACATTAGCATCTATGACTATTACAATTGGAGCAAAACATAACTCATATAAATGTTGATAGATACTTATTAAAATTTTATTGGCAATGGATTTCTTAATGAAGTGATTATACATCTTCCCCAATTACATCATGTACATGGATAGTACTCATTGCTAGGATGAAAACAATTCTAGCATCATTCTATTCTAGCATAAATGCTATTCCTATTCTTTACTTTTATAGATGAAAGTATTAAAAAACTTTCACATACATAAAATTTGAAGAAATTTTGTGTCAGCATTGTTTTAGCAACGTAACTTGATTTTTTAAATTCTTTCTTAGTTTCCAAAATTCACATGGTGATCTATCATCAGTAATTATTTCTAATGATTTGTAACCTGCTAAATTAATTAGGTTCTTCTTTTAACTTTGTTCAAAGCAAAGAAACAACAACCTAGTTTGGAAAACAATCTGTTATTTACTCTAGAGTCATCCACTACTCAACAACAATATTTATAATGATCTCTTTGTACCTAGGATGATTTTATACACTGGGGCAATACATAAAGTGATATTCAGGAAGAGGGAGATGTACGCCTTTTTTCTGCCAAATGAGACAGAGCAATAATTTAATTAAAGGGATGCTCTAAAGGAGACTGAAGATATGCTTTCAGGTAGATCAATTCTAAGAAAGAGGTCAAAGGAAGTCAAAGATCCAGAAATTGATTGTTTTAAAACTATCCGTGGCCACATGCCTCTCTGATAGTTTGAATGTACCCTGAGGGGTACATTATACTTCAGGAGTATAGGTTTCCTAGCTTGAAGACCCTGGCTTATGCAACAACAAAAAAAGATATATGTAAAGGTTAATAAAGTGAGGACTGAAATAGAACAAAGGCAAGAGAAGCAAATATGCTTAATAAGGGGACATTCAATATATGATGGAACATCAGACATAGCTCAGAGCTTTCTGGTCTAATTCAATATATATATACCATTTTAAACCACTTTGTGTCTTCTGCCCTCTCCCTTCTTCTAGAAAAAAAAAAAAAAAGCTTCATTTTTAGTAGCTCCTGAAAGAAAGCTTTTGGATGACTTCTGTCTGAGGAGAGGGCCTTCTAAAAGGCTGAGTCCTGATGGGATAAAGCAAAGAAATATCAATTTGTGAAAGAGGCTTACCTGAGCGTTCTTAATCTTTGTCTTTTCTTTCCCACAAAGAATAACACACACTGTTTAAGAAATAGTAGGTGTATGTCTTGGTAATGGTTATCAATTTTTGCTTTGAGTTAGAATCTTTTCCTTCCTGGATGAAACAAAGGAAAACTATTTCCATGTTCCCCTTCTCCTCAGTATCAGAAACTCTACTATAGGGGCACCTGGGTGGCTCAGTCAGTTGAGGGTCTGGCTTCAGCTCAGGTCATATTCTCACCTTCTGTGAGTTCGAGCCCTGTGTTGGGCTCTGCACTGACAGCTCAGAGCCTGGACCCTGCTTTGGATTTGTGTCTCCTTCTCTCTGCCCTTCCCCTGTTCCCTCTCTGTCTCTGTCCCTCTCTCAAAAATAAATAAACATTAAAAAAAGAAAGAAAGTTCGGGCACCTGGGTGGCTCAGTCGGTTGAGCATCCGACTTCGGCCCAGGTCATGATCTCACGGTTCATGAGTTCAAGCTCCTCATCAGGCTCTGTTCTGACATCTCAGAGCCTGGAGCCTGCTTCGGATTCTGTGTCTCCCTCTCTCTCTCTCTACCCCTCCTCAACTTGTGCTCTGTCTCTCTGTCTCTCTCTCTCAAAAGTAAATAAACATTAAAAAAAAAGAAGAAAGAAATTCTACTATAATTTTGTGACTAAGAAAGTGGGGGAAGAAAAGGCTGTATTTTGAGTGGTTTCAGGGAGATTATTATTATTTTTTTTTTTAATGTTTATTTATTTTTTTGGGACAGAGAGAGACAGAGCATGAACGGGGGAGGGGCAGAGAGAGAGGGAGACACAGAATCGGAAACAGGTTCCAGGCTCTGAGACAGCAGCCCAGAGCCCAACACGGGGCTCGAACTCACGGAGCGCGAGATCGTGACCTGGGTGAAGTTGGACGCTTAACCGACTGCGCCACCCAGGCGCCCCGGTTCCAGGGAGATTAAAAGAGTCTTTGAGGAGGACATATTAGGCAAAGAATGAAAAAGTACTAGAGCCAGATAAGGAAAAGCACAAAAATGTAAGTCATTCTTTTGCATTAGAGTTAAGTTAATGGAATGACAAAAACTCATTTTAATTGAGTCACTAACACTCAGCAGGTTACTTTACAAAACTGTTTTCTGAAGGGCATATATACTTGATTAGTTTACTAGGATGAAACTAGTTGAAAACAAGTAGGTTGACATGAATAAACTACTTATTCAAGGAAGGATATAATTAACAAGCATTTGAAAAACATTTAATCTAAGAGAGTTAACAGTGAGATACCAATTAAGACCATAACTACCATTTTATATCTATTAAATGAGCCCCAAACACAAAATCTTAGTAGCCAACCATGTTAAAAGGATATGATGAAATGGAAACATTTATACTTTGTATATGGCAGCATAAATATTGGCAAAACCTTTTTAGA